GTTCGCGTTACAACTTCCTAGCACAAACATCAAGGCGTCACAAACGATCGACACCTGTGACCAATTATCAAACCATATCTCGGAATTCTCGTTGATACAATACATAACTTACATCGCACATGAATCAACGTAATTCGGTCCGGAAGATCTACAAATTAGATCTCTGATCCGTAACTTCCAAGGATCCACATTATGGAATAACATACTAAAGTTTCGGAATGATCCAATGGTCGGATCTCCGCCAATTGCCAAAACCAAGTGGCGGTTAACATTTTATTTTACGAACTTACAAATCCAATTTGAGAAGATCCGTATGTCGGATTCCCAATCCGTAAGTTCCTATATTCCTCAAATATTATGAATAATAACTTATTAAAGTTTGATGACGATCCAACGGTCGGATCGTCGATTCATATAATGGCCTATTAACGTATCTTAGAGAATTTTGGTTCTAACGATCAATCTACATCATTAAATTCTCAAAACTGAATTCAAGGCATCAAATATAGCCTAAAAATAGCATTGGCGGCCCTCTAGCCACGTGCCGCCACGGGTGGCGGTTGGCCACCTCGACTCGCCGGAAAAATCAACTATCTCTAAAAATTACCAAAATTTATAGATTTGAAGATCTCAATGAGTAGAACAACTTTTATACTTGAGACCAAGGCCAATTTGGCCTGGAAAGGCTCCAATTTCATCACAACCCTTCGGAACCCTAGAATTGGGTGTGCTTCGATTCGACCCCCAAACGTGTTCCGATGCCTCCACCACTGATTGGGCTTTGTTCCTAGGTTCTAGGGGAGTCTAGTGGTGGTAGCAATTTGCTGGATTACCTTCACGATCGTCGAATTTTGTCATGGCACCCTCGGAACCCACAATTTCATTCTACTCGAATTCAAGCTCAAATCCTATAAAATTTGATTGGGAATGGAAGAGGAAAGGACTAAGGGATCATTGGGAATGGTTTCTTGGTCCAAATTCATGAGAAATCCGGTGGAAAACCACCGGAAAATATGGAGAATTGGACTGGGTGTACACGGGTCACGGGTTAGGAACTCGTTTCCCCTTTTTCCCCCCGCTCTCCACTCTCCCTCCTTTCCCTCCTCGCTTCTGATTCTGATTGGGTAGTCTTCTCTCTTCCTCTCCTTTGATTGGGCAGCAGTCCTTCCCTCTGTTCTCTCTCCCGTCCCCCCTTCTTCTTCCTCTTCTTCTTCAACTATTTTTAAAATCACTAAATGATAAACAAAGTATATCATTATAAAAATGTATCAAATATATAAATAGCGACAAAAAAAAAAGTACTTCTCGATTTTATAATTCCGTAACGTCGAGTACCTCAAGAAAACGCTAAGTATTAATTCATATACCTCACTATACGTTGGTCAACGAATGTCAAGACCCTCACCTCTAAAGGCATTTTCGTAAAATCACACTTTTAAATTTTGTAAAAATGTAAGATTTGAGATGGGTTGTCACACGTGAGGCCCACACATCCCAACCCCACTCTCTCCTTGCCACGTTTCCTCTCTTCCACCACAAACCAGTACCCTCTCCTCTCTATTCTCTCATGTCTCTCTCACTCTAGCACTCTCCTCTCTCTATATAACCACCATCGCCGAGACTGAAGCACCACCATCACCACCGCCCAAACCAAGAGCACCACAAGCTTCATCTCATCCTCACGAACCCATAACACCCAACCTTTCCTCCAACTTCCTTCCAAATCATCAGGATCGAAACCTAAGTCAAGCCACGACCCTTCAGGCTATTTTTGGGCCAAATCAGGATGAGATAGTCATCGAGAAGGTACCATTCTCTTCGTCTCATCGAGAAGTATGATTTTCGTTTTTGAATCACTCGATTTCATTGAGTATTGAAGAAGTTATGAATGTTTAAAGTTCACCCAGTTTCCAGCTACCTTCGAGGCTTTCGAGGTATTTTTTGACCAAATCATGGTGAGTTAGTCATCGAGGAGGGTACCAATCTGTTTCTCTCATCCCAAGGTATGAGTTTCATTTTTGAATCACTTAATTTCGTTACGTATTGACAAAGTTATGGACATTAAAAGTTTGTCCAGTTTTTCGGCCAATTACCCAGTTTTCGACAGACCAGTCGCCTTTCAGGCAAGATTCAGGCTAATTCTAGCCACCATTGGACTACCAAATACATATAATCTTATTCTACACGTTTCTAGCTTTGTTTTGATATATTATAGGTGGAATTTGGTTAAGAAATGAAGAAGTTACAAAGCTTTGAAAATTGCCTAGATTTCTTGCCAAAAACCCAGTTTCCGGTGAGTTTTCCTACGATCGGCTCAACCCAACCCAAACCAAAAAAAAATATCCAACCCGAATCCGGATCTAAACTCCCGATTCAGCCCAAGCCCACATTCATTTATGAAATTGGAGGGAATATTTCCTTGGAATATTCTTTGGAATATTCCCTTGAAATATTTGTTGTGTTGACTTTTATGAAATTTTCTCGGAAACCCTCCTAAGCTAATTTCAACGCCCGATTCCATTTTTAACATTCATTTAGTGAAATTCTAAAGTTTAACGTAATTGACCGCCAAGGTGTCTCAATTGACTTTTTAGGATTGACCATTGACTTTTTACAAAATTTGCCAGGGATCTTCCTTAGCATATTTCGACGCCCTAATTCCAAATTCGCACTCCCTTTTCCCAAATTTAATTGTCTTAGTAAAGTTTACTAATGGGTCTCAATATTATGCTTAGGTGTAATTACTATCAGAAACCCTCCTAAGCTAATTTCGATGCCCCGATTCCGTTTTTAACATTTATTTAGTGAAATTCTAAAGTTTAACATAGTTGTCCGCCGAGGTGTCTCAGTTGACTTTTTAGGGTTGACCGTTGACTTTTTATAAAATTTGTCAGAGATCTTCCTTAGCGTATTTCGACACCCTGATTCCAAATCTGCACTTCCTTTTTCCAAATTTAATTGTCTTAGTGGAGTTTACTAATGGGTCCCAATATTATGCTTAGGTGCAATTACTATCGGAGACTCCAACTTTCTAGCTTGAATGGATGTGACATCAAGTAACTATGAGTGGGTCTTTGCTTGTAAATAGTATATATTTATTTCGTTTCCATTTATATATTGAAAAAAGAATTTCCTACGCATGCCTAGATTAGACTAATATTTATAAGAATTAGCAAAATGACGGAATTTACGAAATTATTCCGAATCCTGCGGGATGCACAGGTATACATACAATTATGGGATGCCTTAATTAAATTTACGGCTATGATGAATGTTATGTTGACTAGAATTATCGAATCATTGTGGCATACTATATTTATGTTATCTGCTCATTGTTTGCTGCATCAGTGTTAGTACTCACCCAGGTCAAGGCCAGTCTTTCACGTGTATGTGCACATCGCACCGTACACTCACTTTGGATCCATTGTAGGTGTCTGTCCAGTCTTAGATTGTTATAGGCAATTAGGACTCGTATATGCTGCGCATATCGCCAATCTTCACGTGATTGTAGTACTATAGCATATATCATTATTACACCCAGTCATGTTCATGTCAGAATATCTCTGCATGAACTTGTGTGTCAGCATATGTCGATGAGCACTCGATATTATATGTTTGCTTATGCGAGATTATGTGATTACGGTCATGTATTTATGTATGAATTTTGTGACATATTGTATTCTTGAGATATTACAAGTTACAGTAATATTTTCATATTATACGTAATATGTATATTTTGGAAACTATATTTGTTTTATGGCAAAGGGTTATAATGTTTTCAAAAAGGTTTTTATAAAACTTTATTTTTAGGCCCACTCACCCTTGTTTTTCACCCCTCCATGTTTTAGTGACAATGTTCGTGTCGATGAGGATATCTAGCAAACGTTGATATCAGAGACTACTCCCAATTCTATAAGTCTTATTCTAATTTTACTGTACTTTACTTATGCTCTGACATCACATGTGAAATGGGTTCATTCCCACTCACAAACGCACTCTTATATTTAGGCAATTTTAGGTTTAAATTTATTCACATTTTCCACATCACTACTGACACACCCCGACCCAGAGGATCAAGGCGTGCTGGCCGTCATGTGAGCGTGACGTAACCAAAAGTGCGACACGGAAGCAAGATATAACAGAAAATGAAGGAATTCAAACCAATCTCTAGTAGAACCACCTACTAGAATAAAAGGATGAGTTATAAGGTAAACACATAAATTCAGAGCGTAGGTTTAAGTGCAGTCAAGTAGAACCAAAATAAAATACATCACCCGCAGGTGAGTCCTACATTCAGAACGTCTGTCAGAATGCCGAAAAAGACCTCGAGAGCCACCAACCGCTAACTAGAACCTGGAGGGGCGCAAATCAAAGATGAGTGGGTCAATAAAATCAAAGATTTTCCGAAACATTTTTATTTAAAAACATTTCTAACCCCTCACCGTAAAACCTGTATAATTTCCCAGAAAAATAGTATATAAACATATATAGACATATCATCAAAACTCAGCTCATATTCATCAACATAACATCTCAGAAATAAAATGCCACGCCATGCCAAATATAATCAGAAATGCATCAATATCAATCAGGTGAAATAATAAATCAACCGGAGACCCTACAATGGTCCTGTACGGCTGATTCTAAAGCTCAACATCCCACTCAGCCGGAGTCACCACAGTGACCTATACGGCCCTGCCGGAGTCACCAACTGTGACCTGTACGGCACTACATTGCACATCACTCGGAACTACGTATAATAGTCTGTACGATGAAAGGTGTATAAATACGCTCTAGTGCTTCTCTCATCAATCATCAGCGCGCATAACTAAGGTCACCCACTAGTCAGAATCACATCTAGTGATCTATACGACTAGCATGTCGGAACCCTCACATGGTCTGTACGACATCCACCTACTTGGATCCAAGACGAGCGTGCGGTGTGGTGATAAAATATTGTGTAGATAACGTAAGTGATTAACAAAATAAATTGCATTCTCTCACATAAGACTCACTAGCCAGATTATGCCAAGAAACAACAGCCAGCAAGATGCATAACATTTTTGTTCTCGTAATTTCAAATAAAAGGCAGATACTAACCACATATCTTCTGGCCCTAGAGGTTCTTCCTTCATAAAGGCTTCAAGGCATTTGTACAGAGAAACAGATTCTTGAGGCCTCCTCACAGAAAATTGGGGCTTGAAAATTTCCGGCAAATTGCTTAGAAGGCATGTATCGTACTTTTTAGTCATTTTATCAGACCATAAAACAAGTACACTCAACCTCTTAGGCAACTTTGAGACCACTATTGGCTCATTCATGTCTATCAAGGTGTCTCTTATAGCTCCCTTTGTATCTGTAAAGTAAAACTGGAAGTCATTATCCAAATGTGCTTCATCCCCAGATCCCCTGTCCGCGTAAGCATCATTATCCATAATCGTAGAAGGAGTAGCGTCCTCCTTGTTAGAATCTTCAGTAGCATAATTTCCAATATCATCATCATCAAAAATATCTAATGCATCTCCAGTAGGCATCAAGTATGGGTTTAGTACTTTCAGGAACTTGTTACGAATATCAGATCCATTGCAAACATCAGGCAACCTTGCTATGAGGGGTACGCCAAACGCCGGTGGGACTAATCCCATCTCTCCATTATTATAGCCCCTGATCCCAGACAAAAACATGTATTTAGGCTTTTTAACGGAATAATAACAATTCTTCAGCGGCGGAAACATAAAACTGTAAATTGTTTATCTTTTTAAAAGATCAAGTGTTCATAGATTCAAATTCGGAACTGACATATCCAACTTTAGTACAACAGAGTTCATTAAAAAATATCACTAGCTATAGAAAGAGACAAAAAATGCCTATAGCTGTACAGCACGAAGACCAGTAACACCCCATAAGACAAATTCTTCTATGCCATGAATTCAAACTTAAATGAATATAAAACAGATATCAAATCACCACATCAATTACTTGCTCTTTTTTCCCAATACGTCAACTAATTGCATCACATGAAAGATAACATACACCAGCAAAAAATATTTTATGGGGAAATATCACATAGTATGTTTTCGATGCAATTTCTAGTGAACTTTAAGATCCAACCGCCATACTTGCAAGTTAGCATAAAGTGTCCTTTCATATACAAATTTGTATCAGATAAACAATGTACCTTCATTACACCTGTAAACAAGATTATTCTATCAAACATTTTATAAAAAAGCCACAAAGTTATTTTACAATCACATAAAACTCTTTAGGTTGCTTATTGAGTTCACTAAGCATGTTTGACATACAAATACAGCAGAAAAATCATCAGCAGTATCACTTTCAGTTTTTTGATAAAGTAATTTGAGTAAAGCAATTTGATAGAGCAGTGGTGATATATTTAAGAGACAAAACTTACACGTCCATATGCTGATGAATAAACGTAACCAAAAGGGATGACTCACAATCCTTTGGTAACCGATAAGCAACCAACAGGTCACCATCTCTGATCAAGGCTAATGAATCAAATGGATCTTCCAGTAGACGAAAAATACAACTCTTGTATATCTACAATGTTATAAACAAAGGTCAAGTTGAAAGGTAAAATACAATATATCTACAAAATTACAAACAAAGGTCAAGTAGTTAACCTTTCGCTGATGATTCTTAACAAGGTTACAAATAGTTACAAAAACAATCATGGGCATAACTTTACTGGAGAGAATGCAAAAGGCATAAAGAGGCCCCCTAATAGTCAAAATGCCAATAAATGGTGCTAGAGGATCAAGAGTCTGCAGAACAACACAACTGGCCCATGATCATAGCTAGTATAAATGTCATCCATCCATATGGAAAACCCAGTCCCCACGCCAATGACATGCAACAAAGTTTTAGTACCCCAAAATTTAGCTCTAGAAATATACCTCAGCTACCATCAGAGTTTCATCATCTCTTAAGCAACATGCAGTGCTTAAGGCATTAGTAAGATCCATCAACCTCCCACCCTGGGGCACTGTCACTGTACATGTAGATGGCATTGCAGTCCCATCTGTACTTAGGACCGTCAAAGTCATAGTCCGCATTGATGTTGAAGGTAACGGTAGCGAAAGGTACATAAATGGGTCAAACATAACAGACACCTTGTTGCAAACAGGGCATACCAATTTTGACCGGTACTGACCCTACAGTTGGAAAGCAAACAGATATTGCAATATAGTGAAAATAATTGAATGAAGTTGATCCCAACAAACTTATTTTAAGAAGATATAGGAAAAACTAAAATCACCAAATTACAAATGCACTTAAACCAGAATACTTACTTGGCACACATCGACAATGATTGAGTCATTCCGAGCAAGGTGATTTTGCCAATATTCTTCTGCTACTTCATCATCTGGACGACCCTCCACATCCTTAGCTTCAATGTAAGGTTTGCATTTTACACGATTTAGATCTTCGTGGAGACCATCCAACAAAAAAGCAAGAAGTTCCTACAAGAGGCACTTCAACCAATTACAATTTATAAACCTATTTCCAGCACAAAATGATTAAACATTCCCACCAAGTAAAAAAGGAGAATAAACATAAAAAGAACTAACCTGGGAATCATGCTGATTATAGCCACTGAATTGGGGAGCAAAATTAGCAAGTTTTGACTTGAACATCGTTGGAGTCACTGACCTTGCACCTGGAGCCCATAACCTCCTCAACAACTCTCCAAATGATAAAGCAAGCTCTCCCTGGAAAATAAGTATAGCAAAAGGGAGAGGCAATAATCAAAGTAAGTGAAAGATGCAGAGAAAGGCAGGCATCTAAAATGAAAACTAAGGGAATAATCCAATTACATACTTTCAATCCTAGTGGATTTGCGTAATTTATGTCCTTCCGGTAATCTCCTAGAAAGTAATCAACCAGCTTTGGAGTATGCACCAAGCATTGGATGGCACTGTTCATAAAACAAGTATTCCCAAGATTCTCTAGTCCAGTAAGGCCTAAGGAACCAACTCCTCTATAGATTATACCACTTTGCAAGGAGTTGGTTGAAGTTAAATAAGGATTCACATAGTCAGTGCTTCCATTCATCTTAATAGAGCCACCATAAGTAGAACCATCCAAACTTGACTCTTTATCAGCCACTTCATCACTCCTCCAATCTGAACCTTTCATACAGTCTGAAAATCCATGGAGTCGCAATTCAAGGAGAATCTGAAAAGACAATATGAAAAGAAAGGCCGGATGACTAAACTGTAGAAATTAATCTGCATGAAAGATTATATAAAGAGCAACACTGAGCATTGAAAATTAAGTTTACTAGATATTTGTACTATAAAAATTTGAATACTTGAGAAGAATGCATTAGTAATCTATTTTAAAAAAAAAAAAAAAAAAAAAAAAAACAGGACTTGATGTAATCCACTCCACGCTAACAAAGAATCAATGCAGACAAATGGCATCATTATCACCCCTTCCCCCTCCTCACCAAAAATGGGCAATGGCAGCCACATCAGTGCTTTTTAAAAGAACTTTTAAACTTCAAACATAGAAATAGCTTGGGGAGAAATGGAAAGAAATGGAATTTTTTAAACCTTGGCCGTGTTGATGTTTGTCTTGGTGCAAATACGAGTGCCCAAAAATAAGTTATGCTAATGAGAAACTGGCCCTTGTTTCCAAACCAAAAAAGACCAATCAGATCGTCACCCAAAAAATACAAAAAAAGGGAGAGCAAAATCTATATATCAATAAAATGTTGCATACATTTAATCACTCACCTCTTTGTTCAGTTGTCCAGGAATATCGCTTGGCAAATTAACTCTGTCATTCATGAAAAATTGGGTTGTCTGCCCAGAGAAGTCCCAAATATGCAACTGGCCAATCAATTCTTGAATGAGTAAATATCACCACTTAATTATCAGACCAATTTTAAATGACTAGTTGTCACTTGGTAACTCACCGGAACATACTCTGAACTGAAAACATTACAGGCCCTCTTGTAGGAAACTATTGCATTATCCTGAAAGTAGTGGTCAATCAATCCAAACCTAAAGAATTTAAATGAGTATTGATAAACTGAATAGTAAAAGAACAATAAATAAAAAAATTATAATGTAATTGTAGTCTATATGTCAGCATAGGAACACCATTAAGCAAGCTCACACATAAATATACAATGAGTTTCAAGGCTTGACCTTTGGATGATATACATATTGTCACTATAAACTTGTAATTACGACTTATAAGCTAGAGAAAAAATAGTATCACGTTTTGCAATACAGACCTCAGGCTGACAGTGCTATCCACTTGTGTGTGCTACTATCGAGCACAAGAATGTATCAAAGTACAAAAGTAAGAATCATATGCATGTCACAAGCATACAAGAGGTTAAACAAAATGCAAGTGACACAACCCACATTTCAGTAGAATCCCAAGAAATTTTACCGTAAAAGGTAAATTTTCCACTTAATGTCAACTACTAGAAGCAATATAATCCATAAACAGTATACTTTTTATGTTCTCATTCTTTATGCATTTCTTAACCTGACTCCTAGCTCAAATAACCTTCCTTCATATGACGCATGCCACAAGAACAAATAAATACTCAGAAAAATTTCCTTGAAACATAGCAGAACAGTCCCAATACAATATCTGATAAACTGATGAGAAATAGTTCATTGCTGATTGGGACTACGCTCCTTGGCTAGCTAAAACACACACTCCCCTTCTTGATCTCGCTCTTTCACTCGCCTTCTTAGCATCTTGTTCAATAACCATATCATTCCATATTTTCACAGAACTCCGGTCCACAACACAGAATTAGTCAATTTTTACGTCAATTTAATTAGGAAGAATGCATGCATGATTTAACAACTTTCCAAACCTACAATGTTTTGAACCTGCAAATACGTATCACAAAGAAAAGAAAAACGATAACAACAAAAAGCAATTTCCACACTTTAGATTATGCTAATTATAATGTAGAGCATGATTCTCAAACAATTTCCTTCCCAAAGAACAAGAAGCATCTAACTTCCATAACAAAGTTTTCAAAATTCATCATCTACAGGACTATAACAAGAGGGAAGGGGATAAAAGAAAATACGCTTCAACTACAAAACTAATGTCACTAACCTTTTGGGTGATCTTTACAAACAATGAATTTGTTTCCCAGGAAACAAATAGCCTAATTTGTAGAGAATAAATATCGTTTAAGTTTTCTGCACCAAAAAAGCTCACGTTATCCTTCGCTGCTGCGTTGAAATCATTATGCCTACAAGAAGAGTGGACAAATCAACACCAATACTATAGGAAATCCACTGCTTGGAAAATAATAGAAAGATAGTGGCAGACAAATGGCAGCCAGAAGGTTGTGGATAAGAAAGCACCGGTCGCATAAATCACTGTTAAACCATGTAGAGATAAAAATAAATATCTATTAAAATACTTTAGGAGGAGGCGGAGAAGAAAGAAAGAAATCCCTGAAAACATATTAAAAGCATTTTTCTATTTCCTCCCGCAATCCCAGACAGCCCAGTACCAAAACAATGAAATCAACACCGTTTACACTTTACCAACTTTTTCTTTAATGAGAAATAAAACTGTTCCTCGCATAGAAAAAATGTACAAAGATAGTGAACAAGGACTACACTTCTGAGAAAACATATCGGCAGCTGCTTTCAAGTGTGATAAATAACAGAACAAGATAGTGAACAAGGCTTGTTTGCCTGACCATTTGACTAGTATGATTGGAGGGGATTTTTTTATTTGCCTAGTCCCTTGAATACTAACCTCAAAGCTATATACTCCATGAAAGAGCCTATAACCAAACCCTATCCACATTCTCAGAGCATCTCTAGTCAATGGTGTATATGGAGATGTATAACATATATACATCCCTAGCAGGTAGTGAAGCTCACCAATGGTTAATTTTAAGGGAATGTAAAACACCCATCTTGACCGGTAGATGCAAGTACTTATATATTTTTTTATACATCTCGAGAGAAATAAAAGCAAAAGTCCTAGAGTTCAAAAAGAGGAGAGGGCCAAATTTACTACATCTCCCATTGGAGCAAAGAACCACATTGACATCTCGAGGAAATGTAAATGGGATGTAAACGGGGTTTTTACACTTCAAATTTGCATCTCTCCATTGGTGATGCCCTAATAAACCCTCTTTTTCCTTTCCGCCATATAAACCCAGAAAACTGCCGTCATCTTCCCGGAGATGTGCTATTAATATCATCCAAGCTCAATCATTTATGAAACGGGCAATCAAAGATTTGTGTATGCCACCGTAACAATTGAACTAAGGTGTATTTAGCAGTTCCTAAAAAGATTATCCAGCATAGTAATAGTTAACACCTTACACCAAGAGAGAAATGACACACTATCCTTCCTTTTAAACCCAATTAAAGCCTCCATT